ATATTAACACTATTACATAAAATATAACCTAAATTAGAGATTAAGCATCATTTTGGCAATCCCATGTACTTAAGCATGTCAGATAATCCTGTTTATCACTCTTCTAGATGCTTCAGGGGCCCCCTGTAGCATCAAGCTAGGTGTCAGGAAAGACAATTTTTGAAACTGAAGTTTGATTTGGGGAGGCCTGTTAAGTATGTTAGAGGTTTAAAACACTTGATGATATGAAAGAATTCTAAATTTCCATATTATTTATTTTTCCAAAATGATGACTTAGGATTTTTTTTAAAAACAAAAACCTCTTATAACCCTTTACAGATTTAGCTAAAGAGCAGATTAGTGCATTAAGAGTATTTTGTTGTGCTTTTATTTTAATGCTTAATTTACAGACAAACCATATAATACCCTGTTGAATTTAATGTATCCACACATGAAATTTCTTTTGCAAGATTAATTTTTACAGTTTTTCCACAACTTGTTTGAACTTTTAGCTTTATCTTATCAAATTCAAAACAATCCTAAATTAACCCTAGTCAAAAATTTACATTTTGACAACATCTGCATTTTACCAATAATCTTTAAGACTATTTTAATTTTTCAAAAATTAATGTCATGTGAACTAAAAGGTACCACAGCTTTTATTTTCCTTTTAAAAAATATTTGATCCCAAGCGTTTATCATTCTTTAAAGTCAGTTAATTAGAGCTCTTTTTTATAGACATCACACACACACACACATGCACACTCACACACAAAACACATATATAACTACACAGAAAGGCAGAAGAAGATTCAGTAACTATAAGACTTTTCGTTTGCCAGTCTCCTCATTGGATTATTGGCCTCTGGATGGAACTCTCTAAGGCTAGGAAAGGCTTAAAGCAAGGCTAGGAAAGCATGCAGTTTCCAGGGCCTATTAAACAGGTTTAGCTGGAAGATAAAAACAGATTTTGAGAGGGATCTATCCACCTCTAATTCCTGGGGCTTCTTTAAGAAAACAGAGGTCTCTCCCAAAATGGAATTTGTGGCACCTTTTCTGTTTTTCCCAAGGAGTCCCAGGCCATGAGAAATTATCTTAGGGTGTCTCATGCATGCATTAAGATTGGCAAGGCAAAATGGAGAAAAATAGTTTAGTCAGCTGAGAAAAAAATCTTTTTCCAGGAAGATAAAGTTCAGGAAGAGAAAAACATAAAGGCCTTTTAAATATACTCATAACTTGGATATCCATTTTGAATTAAGCTGAGTGCTCTTTAAAAAAAAATCCTTTTAAATCCCTTATTACTTGACTTTATCCATGCCAAACAGCCAATATTTGTAGCTTTGAAACTTTATCAAAGGTAATCTCCCAGGTGCTCAGAGAGGAAAATTCAAGGCGGTTAGTGGAGGGTAAGAGAATCAACAAATTTCAAAGGTCACACAGATAGCAAACCAGAAAGGACTCACTCCCCTAAGCCAAGATTTGAACCCAGGCTGCCATTGTAAAATGTTGGAGGCTAAAACAAAGCACTGCCACCTGCTTACAGTAAGATCATGCTTCCAAGGACATAAAACAAGATGAAGGCCTGCAGCAAAGTTTGCCACTGACCAGTTTACCAGACTGGCTTTAATAGAGGGCCTGTGGAGTCCTGGGCCCATATCGCATCCTTAGGTACCCCTCTTTTTGACAGAACCGTAAAGACATGTAAAGCACTCCAGATTGGCTGTAACTTAAGACCAGCCTCACAAATCCTTTTTCATAAATAAAACTTTATGGAGAATATAAACAGTGATAGTTAGGGTCCTGGCCTAGTAAAATGTCTTCTGAAAGGAAAAAAGCCTTTCGCGTAAAAGTTAACTCTTGACTTGGTGGAGTAAAAAAAAATAAGAAAATAAAAACAGCTTAACGTTCAGGGCTGTGTTAACTGGGGCAAGAACCTCTTATTCTTGTGCAAATGGTTTCCTCCAACAAAGAGGGAAACTTAATTGCTGTTTCTTCCCTGGGGCTGGAACAGAGCTGGACTTCTTGGCCAGGGGAGGGGAAGACCCTGTGAACACACACGTGGCAGGGAATGCTGGCCAGCCTGCCACGCAGGACCCTTTGGGCATGGGCCCCAGCCCCAGCTAGGAGGGAAGGGGGAACAGGTGATGCTGCTTGCCTTTTAGTCCCATGGGTGCCTGCGGCCATTGGGGTGGGGTGGTGCCATTACAGTCCTGAAAAAAAGAAGGAAAATGCCATAGAAAAGGCTAGGTTAGACCAGTGTTGACATTCCTGACCCCCAAGAGCAATGGTGGGTAGGGGATGCAGTTTCTTCTACTCTCAGAAGTCCAAGGACAAAAAGACTCAGATACAAGAGGGGAAAAGATGCTTTGGTCTGCATTTTACTCACCTTTCCTCATGTCCCCACATGGGCCACCAAAATGATGCAAGATATTTTGCTCCTTAGTTCAGCTAAAATCCAGGTCCTTATCACACAACCAGGAAAAATTAGGCATATGGACACATTGAAAGTTTGAGGAGAGCGGAATTTATTAAAGAAAGCTCTCAGTGAAAAAAAAGGGGTTCTGCCAGCAGGCTTCCAACTCACAGATTGAATACCAGATCACCACACATATGTGCTGAAGAAGACCCTTCTCACTGCTTAAGGTGTGAATCCCCACTGGCTGCACCCCCTTTTCCCAGTGTGCAGGCAGGACCCCAGTCTGTTGCCAGCATGCACAGACAAGACCCTGGGCAGGTTCCCACATCTGCACAAAAGCATCTGATGTAAACACTTGTGGGGCAGGTTGGGGATTCTCCAGGGATCCTCCCTTATCTGCCTCCTGCATCTATCACTAGGTTTTCTCAGGTCTAACTTCATTTAGGTTTTTTTTTTTTTTTTTTTTCATGGGGTATTAGAAGCCTAATTAGGCTCTGTATGACCTAATCTGAGTGATTAGGAGTGTGTCTCCTGACAGTTTTAATTATAGTCTCAAATTTAAATGCAATTACTTTCATAACACATTTATACATATTTTGAATATCCTTTATCTGAAATGGTTGGAACCAGAAGTATTTTAGATTTCAGATATTTTCAGATTTTGAAATACAGTAAGTCTTCACTTAATTTCATCAATAGACTTCTGGAAACTGCAACTTTAAGCAAAATGACATATGACAAAACAACTTTACCACAGGCTAAATGATATAAATGAGAGTTAAATTCCTCTGGCATATTTCTGGTTGCAAAAATGTAACCACATTTCAAAATAAAGACCCAAAACACTTCTAATATTAAACATTGAAATAAATGTGAGAAACACATATATTTAAGAACGAGTAATGAAAACAAAGTATGATAATTATTTACTTGTTCCAGTTCAGTGTCACTGGTGGCTGGAGCCTATTCAAGTAGCTCAGGGCTCAAGGTGGGAACCAACACTGGACAGGATACTATTCCATCACAGGGTGCACTCACACACATCCACGCTTACTCCTAGGGGGACAATTTAGCCATGCCAATTAATGTAACATGCATCTTTGAGATATGGGAGGAAACCAGAGTACCTGGAGAAAACTCATGCAGACATGGGGAGAACATGCAGACTCCACGTGCACAGTGGCCTAGCTGGGAAGCATTTTTTTCTCTTCAACATTATAACAAAATGACATTGAAGGAAAGGATATTATTTGAGGACTTGCTGTATTTGCATATATATAATGAGATATCATGGGGATGGGACCCAAGTCTAAATAGAAAATTTATTTATGTTTCATATATACCTTATACTAGTGGTCCCCAATCCCCCGGCCTTGGACTAGTACCAGTCCATGGCCTGATAGGAAACAGGCCACACAGCCAAAGGAGAGTGGCAGCAAGCGAACATTACTGCCGGAGCTCCACTTCCTGTCAGATCAGTGACAGCATTAGATTCTCATTGGATCACAAACCCTATAGTGAACTCCACATGCAAGAGATCTAGGTTACACGTTCCTTATGAGAATCTTAATGCCTGATGATCTAAAGTGGAACAGTTTCATCCCAAAAACATCCTGCCACCCTGGTCTGTGAAAAAACTGTCTTCCGTAAAACCATTCCCTAGTACCAAAAAGGTTATGAACCACTGCCTTATACAGATAACCTGAAAATAATTTTATGCAGTATTTTAAGTTACTTTATGTATGAAACAGTTATTTTATCACCCTTTGTGGGTGTTTTTGCATGGGAGAATCTGGGCATTATAGAAATTGTAATGGAAGGAGTGTAACTTACAAGATATTGGAAGAACTCAGTAGACATGAGGTGCACCATTAGTGGTTATAGATCAGCCTGTGTGGTCCATTTATCCCTGCTCCTGACTAGATTGGAGGTGCAAATTAGTGTGGCAGAGTGGAGTAGAACTAACTAGCTTGTAGCAGTTTGAATTTATGCATACCTCATACATGAATGCATAGATTTTAGCAGTCAGAGAAGTCTAAGGCTCTTGTTAATTTTAGGAGGCAAGCCAGTGTAATTATTACAAACATACAGATAATTACAGATCAGAATGGTGCTTTTTTTGACTTAATTTTTGAAACAGAGCTAGAAGTTGTAATGTGTTATATTTTTTCTTGTTTTTAAATTAAATTTTTCTTTGTGAAAAGAGTTGATGTTGTGCCTCAGGATAAGCTTCTTACAGATGCTTATAATATATTATTTTAAAGTACATTACATTTCTTATCATTCAATCAATTTCAAAGAGCTTTCTTGATTTTGCTCATATACTTATCCATATATTATTCAAAATACAAAGGGACCAAAAAGTTTGGTTATATCTTCAAATGATTTCTTTGCATTGTAATTGGAAGTACATTTAGAAATATTTGATGTATATAGATGACATCTTTTCAGTTTTGTGTGTTTTATTTATATTCTACGAGTGCTAGAAAAAATAACGACTTTGAGACTTTGTTTTCTTCAAATTGTAAATCCACATGCATCCTTATTTGTTCTAAAATTACATTTTTTATGGCTAACAATTCATCAAATTGTATTTATATTTTAGGCTAAAAATCTCATAGAGAGATTCTTTAATCAACAAGTAGAAATTCTTGGCAGACGTGCAGAACGATTACCTGAAATATACTATATTGAAGGTACTCTCCAAATGGTTTGGATTAATCGCTGCTTTCCAGGGTATGGAATGAATGTCCAGCAACATCCAAAATGTCCTGAGTGCTGTGGTATGTAATGAATTATGATTTCATGTTTCATATTGTTGAAAATTTACTTATTTTCATTAAGCCTAAGTGAATGCGTATCACTTATTTTTACCATCATTTAGGTATTTTTTCATAGTTTATTTGAAGTAGTGTATTTGAAAAGACTATGTGAATCTAAAGATGTGAAAGAAAAAACAGTCTGGCTTAATTTTGGCCTTGGTATTAATATTACAGCAAGGGAGTTTAGGATCACTAGGCAGTTATCTGGGAGGAAACACAAATAATAGTTATGAGTCACTTAGAGTTCCTGACTTAAAAAAAAGCCAATTAACATATCTTTTAGAATCTATTATTGATGAGTTTAGGTTTGTATAGTCTACAGTAGACATCTTTGTGACTTTTTCCTTCCTTTTGAAATAAGTATATGAATTGTTTTATTACCAATTGTTTTTTCTAACTTTTGGTCCTAGCACTACAGTATCTGAGCTGCTCTCTGATGTTTATTCTTTCTTTTTCATCTTTACTATAGAAGAGAGTTCTGTAGGGCTGTTGATTTAGATGGAGCACATGAATTCAAAGTCTTTGCATTTCTATTATTGAGAGGTTAATGGGCCAATTAATTTTCAGTCTTAAAAGAGTTTTAAAAATTTATACTAATGTCACTAAATGTATACCTGTCTTAGTCTCTTTCATATTGCTGTAAGAGAATACTTAAGCCTTGATAGTATATAAAGGAAAAAAGTTTATTTGTCTCATGATTCTGATGGCTGAAAAGTTTGAGATTGAGCATTCAGTGATGGCCTTGGTCTGCTTCTACCTGTGGCAGAAGATGAACGTGAAGGGGAGCCTGAGTGTGCAGAAATCACATGGTGAGAGAGGAAGCCAGAGACGGGGGCAGGTGCCAGCCTCTTTTGTATAGCCAGCTCTCACAGGAACTAATAGAATTAGAACTCGGTCACCCCTGAGGGAGGGTATTAATCTATTCATGAGAGATCTGCTCCCATGACCCAAACCTCTCCCACTACACCTTACATCCCAACACTGCCACATTTGGAATTAAATTTAAACATGAGATTTTATGGGAATAAGCAAACCATATCCAAATCATAGCAATATCATTCTCATTAAGTCATTTCTAATTGTTCTTTTCTCCTTTCTTTCTTCAATTTAAGTTAGATTAAAAGCCTTTTCATAAAATAGACCACTAAATATTCCTTTTACTTTGTTTTCTTTGATTTGGCTAGAGTTATCTTTATAACTTTTTGTGTTTCGTTATTGTTTAAATATGTGAACTTTCAAAAAAATACAGTACCAAGGTATATTATGAAATAGAATACAAATTAAATAACTTCCAACTGTTAACTCTGTAAGTATTTTTAAAATTGTGGTTATATATATTATTTTATATATATAAAAATCACTGATTTTATAATTTATATATAAATCATATGATTATTTATATCATATAATACTATTAATATATGTTATGTATAATGTAGATATAACAAATATATAAATTTTATATAGTGCCATATAATAGATCTAATATAAATATTAAAATTATAATTATTATTTATATAATTAATAATAATATGACCATGTTAATTAACTGAGATGGTAAAAAAA